GGGCCCGGGCGCCAGCGGCCCCACAGGTGACCTTGGGCGCGTCCCGGCCCTGAGCGCGCCGGTCCTCGGGGTGCCCGGCCGGCTCTTGCTGGGGCTCAGCCCCCCGGTGCGAGGCGCGGCTTCCCGGCCCTGCCCGGGGCGGCGGGACCAGGGCGGGCTCGGGGCTGCTGCTCGGGTGGGACGGGCAGGCTGCCTGCCCCGGCGCCCAGCGCTGTCTCCTGTTGTTCAAGGGCTCCTCTCACCTGCCGCAGCAGTTGAAGTTCACGACCTCCGACTCCTGCGACCGCATCAAGGACGAGTTCCAGCTCCTGCAGGCCCAGTACCACAGGTACGTGCTCCCGTGCGCCGCCGGGCCCAGCCTGGGTCTGCCCCATGGCCTCCGCGGGGCTGGCATGCGGCAGCACGACACGCAAGAATCGCTCTCATTCTCCTGCTTCATTGCTTCGCTGCACAGACCGAGCGGGAATGCCAAGGCGGAGACCCGGTCACATAGCTTTGGTCACCTTTGGCTAGAGGAGGACCTAAGGCAGGGGATTGGTTGCATCCGCTTGGGAGCCTGGAGAGGAGAACATGCGTCTTCCCTCTCCAGCCAAGGTCTTTACTCTGAGTACAGCTCAGCCAGGACCGCGCGGAGGCTTGCCAGGCCTCCTGCGTCTTGCTGGGAGTTTTCCTCGGTTCTTCTTGCTGGCTGCCATTCTTGGACGGCGAATGCTGCAGGGAGCACTTAAATCCAAAAGCTTCCGCTTTTCTGCGGGTGTGTGTGGAAACACTGCTGCTGACCTGAAAGCTGGCTTGTGATGATCTGTTGCTTTGCATGTGTGCGTGTCTGAAATAAACTTGAAGCTCTTGGGTTAAATCGACTGGGTGATGCCCTCTGCCACGGCGCAGCAGGCTCCAGGGCGGCTGGTTGTGGCAAGGGCCTTGGTGCCATGCAGCTGCAACTTTCCTGCCTGTCTTTCCCCAGCCTGGGCTCCGCTGGGCAGCCAGGTCACAGGTTTGCAGTGGTGTCATTCTGGCAGGAGCAGGCAGAAAAACTGCTGGGAAATGGCTATTTCCTGGTGTCCCTGTGTCTCTGGGCAGTGCCAGCGAGGGAGTAGGGGAGCCCAAGAAACATGCCCGTTGGAAGGGATGCTATCCCCCTACCCCACCCCACCCCACTCCACCCCCTTGGACTTAATCTGTTCGAGAAGAAGCAGGTTTTGTGTAGGTGAAGCTGTTTCTTGTTTGAAACATAAAACCGCAGCACATGCTGGCTGCAGTTGCTCGGCTGGTGAGTTGGAGTCTCATAAAACACTGGGAGCAGCGGCACTTTCTCTGAAGGGTGTGAAGAACCTAGGGGAGAGAAAAAAAATCCTTTCTTCTGGCGGGATGTGCTGCACTTGGGCCTCCCCGCCACCTTCCAGAAATGGATCTGGCTTTGGTTTAGAAGTTGTATTGGAGCATCTCTTGAATGCTGCAGGCAGGCCTGTGCTAGAAGCTGTCCCCAGCTGCCAGCAATCAGTTGAGGAAAGGCAAACCCCTCCCTGGGCAGCCACCTCTGCTTCTGCCCAGCTTTCTGCTTCCTGCCGAAAGGAGTTGCCTGGGGGAGGTTGGCGTCCAGCTGGTGGATAGCCTCGTGCTGCTTCTCCTGAATGTGTGTTGGTGGCACTCCAGCTGGGAAGGTGGGAGCAGGCTCTGTTGTGGTCACTGCTGTGCAGCACACTGTGGCCCAGCTCTGACTGCCCCTTGGAGTCTGGATGGTGGTGTCCGAGAAGCCAGCCTGGCCAGGATGGGGCCATGCAGGAAGCAGCTGCTCTGTGGCGATCAACTCTCTCACCTCCTGTTTGTGGTTTTCTTACTGTTTTCTGGCTTTTCAGCTTGAAGTTGGAATGTGACAAACTGGCCAGTGAGAAATCGGAGATGCAGCGTCACTACGTCATGGTAAGGACCGGCCCCAGCAGCCAAGAGCATGTGGGTGGTGCGGGTGGGGACTCCAGCGGTGAGCAGGTGCCTGTGCCTGAGTTTTGCCTGGCAGGGAGCCTTCACCCTGTGGAGCGGCGGGCCTCCAGGCAAGGCTGGCATTGGCTTTTCTGAAAATGGGGCTTTTCTATATTTTGTGTTGTCTGCATGCAGTGGATTGTTGAAACGTGGGGAAGTAGCAGAGAACTGTTGGACGTAGAAAACTGATGGGCCCAGTGGCTGATTGCTTGATGGGTGGTGATGGGGTCCTTGGCCTTGCCACTGACTGGCTGCTTGACCTTACTCCCTGTGCCCTGGGGGAACTGACAGCTCTTATGCACCCCAGAAGGAGCTGTAAGGTGCGGGTGTGCAGGCGTCTGGGGATTCAGGGAGAGTCATGGCTGGTGAAAGACAAAGCAGTGCTCTGAGCAGTCGTGAAGCTGGGAAACCCCACAAGCCTGGTGGGAGTTGAAAGCAGAAACCAGCTGCTGTGCAAGAGCTAAACCCTCTGTGCCTTCTTGCGACCCTGGCAGCCTTGCGGAGCTGTGGTGTTAAGTGCTAGCACGTCTCACCAGTGCCTGTGTCCCAGCACAAAGTGTGCAAATCCCAGGGCAGTGGCTGGTAAAGGCATGAGACATGATACCACATGCGGGCAGCAGGGTTAGTCGTAACTCTCTAAAGAGAAATCTGCCAGGAAACAGCCATGTTCTTGTAGGCAGGGTGATGGTTTGCCTGCCAGGTAATGCTTCTGTCTTCCCACGCGTGGAAGAGCCCTTGTAGCAGAGAGGAGGGATGCCAGGCAAAGCTGTGGTCTGTTCCTTTCCTATCAGGGAGTTAACAGGAGGTTGTGATACTATCCATGAAGATGAGCTGGTGCCTGCTTACCAGCTGCTGCCCCTGCCCTGGAAGGAAGAGATAAGATGTAGAAATTAATACAGCAGCTCTGTATTAGGGCAGAGTTAGGACTTTAAAACCAGAAATAAGGGAGCTGGCCCCTCTATCCATCCTCCTGTACTGCCTGTGTGTCCAGACTCTGAGGCTGTGGGGAGCAAGGCATGCTTGGGGCTGGAGACAGGAAGAGGTCATGGCTTTCCTTGTATATTAATGAGGAAGCCTGCCACATTCACACTGATAAATGATTGCTTCCTGGGTCTTGCAGCCTGCATAGAGACTCTCATCTCCAGGTGTAGCTGATACTTTTTTTTTTTACCTTAATGCTGATGGTCACCAGCATTGATTCAGGTTACCATCAGCAGGTTGGCGGCAGAGGGGAAGGGTTATTGCTTGTTGTACAGCATTTGAGGCTTTGTAGGCGCAGCAGCTCCTGCCTTGTCTGCATGGCTGAGCTGGAGTTGCACAGAGCTGCTGTCGTTCCCCACCACAGCAAGTCACAGGAAGCAAAGAGGAGGGTTTCTGTGAATGTGCAAAGCTGCTACAGCTGCTCTGATTTTTTGAATAAGTCACAATAGCAGCTTGGGAGTCAGGCTCCTGCTTCCTGCTCAGCCTTCAGAATGCAAAGAAGCCTCGAGAGCCAGCAGCAGTGTTAGAGCAGACTGAGATCATGGCAATACCAAGCTGGGCGCTTCTCAGACTTGTGGCATCAGTACCAAAATGCCAGCGATCTTCTCCTTGAATTAGATGAGTGCAGATGTGGATTTTTCTTTCCCTTTGGAAGAATCAGGATTGCAACCTGCAAGCTGAGGGAGGAGATTTCTAAACTCTCAAACATCAGCCTTAAAACTGCTTCTTCCAGGGGTCAAGAATTGGCTTCTCCTGACAGTAGGTTGCTCTGTAGCTGCCTGTTGCTGCTGTGTGGGGCCGGGGGGTGGGGGGGTGGTTCTGGGTGGTTTTTTCCGTTGTGTTTTTTTCCACATAGCTTCTTCCCAAACAGCTGGAGCTGTGTGCAGCTGAATGTGTTACTTGCTAGATGAAGCCCAGTTGTGATCTCTTCCATTTGCTGCTGAAGCAGCTGTGTGGGCTTTAGGATATTGGCCAGGCAAAACTTGTAGAGTTAGGCTGCCTCTCTTTTGGCTGTGAATATGGAAGTCTGTGGAGCCCTGAGCCTTTTTCCAGGTTTGAAGCAGCATCACCCTCATCTTGATGCAGACTGCTGAAAGCTGTTTGTGAGGGGTGTTGCATGGGGCCCTGTCAGCAAGTTCCCAGGTCTCCATTGGCAGAATGTGAGGCTGGAGCAGGGTGGGTAGGGAGCGCCCGGGCTCGGTGGTTCTGCCTTAGACGTGGAAGGGGTCTCTGTGTTTGCCTCCTGCTGTCTTTGTTTCCTAGGGCTGGCCTCTTCTCTCCTTCCATCCTTGCCCAGCCTTTGTAGAAGACCTTGCTAGGAAAGCAGTAGTAGTTCCCAGCACTGCTATATGGAGCCACTTTACCTGGTGGGGACTTGACTTACAATTTCTTTTGTTCTTTTCTCTCCTGCTCTACAGTATTACGAGATGTCCTACGGGCTGAATATTGAAATGCACAAACAGGTAGGGGGAAGGCATTTCCAAGTGCTCTAATTCCTGGGGAGGGTGGGTTGTCTGCTGTGCTTTGCCCTCTGTCACTTCAGTGGTATTTCAGGAACGAGAAATGCCATGAACCTGTAAAATGTCAGAGCTGCCTTCGAAATGCAGGGACTCCCCCTCACCTCTCGGGATCGTAGTGCCCAGACTGAGGGGCCCCACCCTGGGCTGCAGGCATGCTCTAGTTCTCCCCAGGGCCTGAACAGGTATTTAAGCACTGAACACTGGCAGGGTCTGGAGCTGCAGCTCAGAGTTGGTCAGCAGACACGAACCCAGGGTGGAGGGCAGGAGATGATGGTGGGTCCCTCCCACCCTCCTCCCAGGCCCCGGGTGGGTTCCTGGCCCTGCTTCCTTCCCCAGTGCCTAGGAAGGCTTGTTGTGATCACCCCAACGTGAAAAACACCTTTGGCTCCCCCCAGGCTCTTGCTGCAGTCGGGCCAGAGAGCACTTCTCTTGGGCTGTCATTATGTAACATGATGGCAGACCTTCTAAGAAAGCCTCCTTCTGATGGAGACAGTGCTGCAGCCTGGATAAGTTTGTTCATTACCCTCACTGGTGGTTAAGTTGTTAATTATCCCCAGTGGCTAATTACCTGTTCTGTTAACAACATGAGCCTCCTCTGAGCCTGACTATCTGGATTCAGCTTCAAGTCACAAAGTTGTCGGTGTGTCGTGGCTCAGTTGTAAGCTGCTTAGCACAATTCTGCTCCCCACAAAGGCACTTGATGCCTCTGATCCCATCACCCTTGTTGGTAAGACCACGGGACTGGCTTCCCTGGGAAAACCTGCATCTTGGTAAAGGATCTGAGCCATGAATCCTCACTGCTGTCCTGTCAACTGTCTCCCAGCCTAGTCTGCTCCCCTGTGGTGCTGGTGGGCCCCTCCCGGCTGGTTTTGGTGCATGCCTAAACTCTTTGGCTCTGTATTTCTTTTGACTCCATTGGAAAGTGATCTGCAAAGGGCTGGTAGCTTTACTCCTTCCCAGGAGAAAGCATTTAACACCCCAAAATTTGCCACCTGCTTGTATGAGACTAATGAAGAAGCTGCCCAGTCCCTGTGGTCTCCCTGAATAGCCCCAGTCCTGCAGCTCGGCTGTGGGGAGGCTGGCAGTGGGTGAACACTTGCCTTTGGGAAGGGGGAGTCTGAGGAGGTTGAGCAGCCAGTCTCCAGGGCAGAGTGGGGGGGTCTCAGTAGAGGCAGCATGTGTGTCTGTGTCCACATGGCAACTGTAATTCAACGCATCCCCACCTGGGTCTATAATAAGTTTCCTCTCTGGTTGCTCCCAATTCGTTCAATGAATATCAGAGATGGAAAAGAATATTGAAATCGTGCTCTTTGCAGTCAGCAGCATTCATGCATTTAACCATGTAGGGAGGGGCCTTGGGAGTGAGGTGACCCCACCATGGCACCAGGTTGCTGCCAGCATCTTTCCGGGGGGAGTTTGTTTTCTTGGGGCCGTTCGGGGACTCGGGCCCTGCCTGGGGTGGGGGAAAGTGGAGCAGCTGGTGCTGAGGATGGTCAGTCCCAAGCTGCCTGATGCCTTTCCTCTCTGTTCTTCCCACCTTCTAGGCTGAAATCGTCAAGAGGCTAAATGGGATTTGTGCACAGGTTCTGCCCTACCTTTCGCAAGAGGTGAGTCCCCCGGCTTGGCCTTGGCTCTGGCTCGGGGGCACGTTGGCAGAGGGGAGTGGAGGCCCCCGTCCCGCCACGGGACAGCAAGGTGCTGCGGCCCTCCCATATGGGCAGCTCCGTGCTCCTGGCCTGGGAAACCTTGTTGCTTGCTTTGAGCCTCTGTGCAGGGACAAGCACTTCAAGACAGGTTTGGCCTGGAGGCCTTCGAGCAGCCCCCCAGGCGCTGTTCGGTGGCTAATGTGCCTGTCTGTCCCCTTTGTTGGTGGCTGTGGACAAAGATGGGCTCTGTTCTCTCCTGCCTGTGGTTTCTGAGTCATTGGCCACTTCTGCATGGGTGGTGGGAGCTTTGGGTGGCTAATTGGGGGAGGAGGGTGTTTTAAAAAAAAAAAAACCAAACCAAACAAAAACCAAAACCCTCCATATGGCTCCTCCTTGAGATCTGGTTCCTCTGCCTCATTAATTAATGCAGCTGATGGGCTCCTCCCACTCCCCTGAGAAACTGATTGGGAGTGCCTGGGAGTTGCTGCTCGAGGCGGGAGGAAAATGAAGCACCTCTAGTGCCATATCTGTCCATCTCCCCATACAACCCTACAGAGGCTAAACTCCACTGCTGTTCTTGTGGCTTTTTTATTGGTCAGGACTAGCTGTGGGATGGAGGCTGTGTTTCTTGGTCTGGGTTAGCTGTGGGGTTGGGGAACAGGCTGTGTTTTTCCCGCCCACCTGTTCTCAGGGAAGACAAAGTGGCTTGCTGATCAGATCAGAGCTGCCTAATAACTAAGCCACAACTAAACCTTTTGCATCTTAATGCAACCCCTTCCCTCTCCCCAACCCTGTCCCGCTGCCAAGATGGAAAGAAAAATCTACTTGCTGGAGTGCAATGGACAGGCCTGGTGTTCAGAGACCTTGTGCTCTCAGAGCAAGTACAGTTGTCCTTTATTTTTTAAAGTTTGTGATGCAGCTGTTTTTCCTGTTTGTGTTTGGAGCAGCTGTGCTGGGCTCTTCTACAGCAGCGTCTTCCAGCTGCTGCAGTTGGGACCTGGGATGTGTCCCAAGGAGTGGGGAGCTTCCCAAGAGCTTCTGATTTTAGGGCTTATTTTGTTTGTTAGGGGGACTTGCTTTGTGTCAGTTCTGGGTAGAGGAGGGGAGGTAGGGTGGGAGGCATTGCCCACCTTAGGGCTCTTCTGGCCAAGGATTGCTGAGCCTGTGCAGAGCAGGACAAGGATGGGAGTAAGAGGGGACCTGCTTAACCCCGTGGTGAGGAACTGGAATGAGACAAGCATGCCCCCTTCCCTGCTTCTCACTACCATGGGCCTCAGTGGTGTAAGGTCCTTGTCACAAATGAAGTGCGTGCAGGTGTCTCCAGCTATGGGGTTAACCAGCCTGCCTCTGTGCCCTGCCATCTTGGTGCTAGCAGCTGAGATAACGTACATGTGAGTGTGTCAGACCCAGTAGGGCTGGGTCCCTGTTCTCCTTCCCTGTGATACTAGAAATGACCCTGAATTCCTCTGTTCTCTCCACACCAGCATCAGCAGCAAGTCCTGGGAGCCATTGAACGAGCCAAGCAGGTTACGGCACCAGAACTGAACTCCATCATCCGTGTACGTGATGCATGTTTAGTTTGGGTTCAGAGGGATGGGAATCCGTGCCTCTGGCCTTTGAGACAGAGCTGGGCAGGGGAATCATGACCTGGGGACGTGCCCCGCATGCTGGGAGCTGGCTGCTCTATGTGCAGTGCTGTAGCCCTGCTGGGATGAGGCTGTGAGTGCTGGGCTGGCCTTGCTGGCATGGGGCTGGTTTTGTCCAGACTTGTTATGATACGGGCATGGGTTTGCAGGGGAGCATGGATTCCTGCTCTGTCCCAGCAGGGTGCAAGGAGAGGAGCTTTGGTTTTGAGCAGGAACCGCAGCAGCTCCTTGACATGAAAACACCATCTGTTCTTGGTCAAGGTTGGGAGGGCTTTAACCGCATCCTTGGAGCATGCCAGAGTCTGAGGCCAGATGTCCTGTGGGCTAGGGGCTGTGTGTCATGCTGGGGACACGCTGTTGAGTCTTCTCTTGAGGCTGTCGCAGCCCAGGGACTCTAGAATGTTTTGGTGGTTTGTTTCATTCCCCCCTGCCCCGAGGCTGCAGTGGTCTCCAGGACCTTTAGGTCCCTGGTTTAAGCTTGGCTGCTGGCACAGTCTGTCTGGAGAGCCCAGGCCCTTGGGTTGGGCTCCAAGTGCGCTCAAAATGACAATAGCCCTCTCCTGTCTTCCTGTCTGTCTGTCATTCTCTACAGCAGCAGCTTCAAGCTCACCAGCTGTCGCAGCTCCAAGCCCTCGCTCTGCCTCTGACTCCGCTCCCTGTGGGCCTCCAGCCCCCATCCCTCCCTGCTGTCAGTGCCGGCACCGGGCTCCTCTCGCTCTCGGCCTTGGGCTCGCAGGCTCACCTCTCCAAGGAGGACAAGAACGGCCACGACGGGGATGCCCACCAAGATGATGATGGGGAGAAATCGGATTAGAGTGACTGGGGGGCCGGGGGTAGGGGGCTGTTTGG